GGAGGAGGCGTGTTGTGATGCCGTCCACACCAGGGTCGTTGTCTTTGTTAAGGTGGCCGTCTTCACTTCTTCTCCGCTAACATTGTCCTGCCAAGTAATCGCTCGCCTCGGGACGACGGGTACGTCAAACGGGTCACCCGGTGCGTCATCTTCCGCACTAAACCTGTCGAGAAGGGCTCCCCGAAGCGCTTGAGCCTTTTCGTTAGTATCCTCGATCGTCTGGTTGTCCACAACCAATGGGGGTGCTCTGGTCAGTAGGCTCGCCTTCCGCCAACCCATGATCTGGTACAGGTCCCGGTCTGAAGCGACTCCATCGATCTTTCCGGCCCAGTATGCTCGCTTAGCCTTCCTCACCGTGCTCAGGAACGCCTTTCGTTTCTCCATTAGATAAAGGTGCGCATCTTGCTCCGTCTCCCAGGCTTGTTGGTTGCGGGCAGCACGGTATGCTCTGTGGGCCTCTGCGCATTCCTCCGTCCACCAAGCCGCGCCTTTACCATGTTTTCCTCTCTTCTTGCCGACCGCCTCAATGGCTCGGGAGAAGAGCTCGACGATGTGACTTGCCTGCCCGTCCAGGTCTTCCGGAGTAGGTTGATCCCCCAGATTGGGCATCGCAGCTAGCCCCCCTTCGATCAGGTCTCTCAGCCGAGGCAGCGCCGAGTCGGGCACTGACAGTGGCCGTGGCTGCGGGTGGCCCTCTCCCTGTGACACTGGGCGTTTGAGTAGTGGTATGACGGCCACGATGGCCTCGTGGTCAGCTCCCGGGTGTAGCTGTGGGCTGACCTGCGCGTGCGCAAAAGGGATATTAGAGAAAGCCAGGTCCAGGACATGTCCGCAATCCTGGGTTGCCACCCCAACTTCGCTGATAAGAGAGAGATTGTGGCCGTCTGCCCAGCCTGCGATGTCATCTCCCCGGTTCCCGTTCCTCGTCCCGGGCTCCCAAGAGTAGTGATGCGCGTTGAAGTCACCCGCGATCAAAGCTCGCTCCGGGGGTTTGAGTTCTAGCAGTATCCCTGTTGTGCGGCTGTGGGGGTCGCGGGGTTGTCTGTACACGTTGACGATAGTCGTCGTTTTGTCGACCACCAGCCACAGTACGTCTCTCGTGTGGACAGGCCTCTGCTGCTCCACCGTCATCCCTATCCCTTTGCGTGTGTAGGTCAATACTCTTGGTCTGGTTCCTTCGCTGTCCCAGAAGTCGACCGGGACGAAAGAGTCGAAACCCGGGTGCGTGTTCAGTTGCACGTTTCCGTCCTTCCAGCCCGTCCAGGGTTCCTGGACGAGGACCACATCTATCTGAGCCTCCCAGCAGAGCTGCAGGAAAGCCGTGTGCGCCGGGGAGATCTTTCCGACGTTGCCCTGCGCAACGCGTAGCATCCGTGGGGTCGCCGCTCTCGGCTTACGTCTCCGAGTCGAGTTCGAGGTGGGTGTAGGCATTCGCGACGTTGTAGTTTGGCTTCTGTGCTGCCCGTTGGCTCCTGCTTGGCATGGGTAGCACGGGACGGTCGATGGAGGTGTTGTCGGGGGAGTCTTCGCCTTCGCCTTCGTCCGCCTCGTCTTCATCCATGCTGCTGCTGTCAGTGCTTCCGTCACCGAGGCAAACGATCGAGCTTGCGGAGGGCGTTCTCGTGCGCGCGCGCTTGGCGCCGGGTTGCTGGTTCTGGCTGGTGGAGGTAGGGACGCCTGCCGCCTCCTGGCTACTGTCGGATCGAGTAGCCTTGTACAGAGTGTCCGATGCTTTCTGGCCGGCCTTCCGGATCCGAGCCCGCTCCTTTCGACCGGGAAGGGAGACGACGCCGTTTACGGCCGAGGGCCTCGCTGGGCAGTCTGTGTGGCTGGCTTGGAAGGGGCCGCAGCAGTTGGCACATTGGGGCCTGGCCATGCAGGGTCCCGTTTCGTGTGAATCGGAAGGTCTTCCGCAGTTGCTGCAGATCGGTCGTCGTCCGCAGAACCGGTTGGAGTGGTAGCCCTGGCAGCCGGGGTCGTGTCGGATGAGCGTCCTTCGTTTCTTGACGGGCAGAGATCTGCCGCTTTGGTTGAAGAGCCTGAAGGGCGTGACCTCTGATGTGAATGATATGAGCCAAGATATTTCGTTCGTGACTGGGTTGGGCCCAAGGCGGGACGGTCGAGCAAGGACAGGCTTCTGTCCTGTCTGTGCGAAGACCTCATCTTCAACGAGTGTGGCTGGGTCCAGGACGTCCCCGCCAATGCTGTGTAGTTTTGTTGGGCATCGCGGCACAACGTAAGTGTACCACTTGATAGGCGTCTCGACCTGGTGGGCGCCGAGGCATTCCGCCAGCTTTGCCTTACTTGCAAGTAGTCTTTCCTGTATTTGCTTGTTTCGCGGCTTCAGAGAGTAACCTGTGCTGATATGGTAGACGTGGGGAAGGTCCGCTAGCCCCAGGCCAACGGCCTTACAGACGATCTGTCGTACGGCGAACGGTGCGATCTTCCGAGCGGCCGCTAAGCTTTCTTCCGGGACGCGGGCAAAGATGCGGAGGTCCTCCTTCGGCTGCGCCTGCGGCTGATCCTCGGCGGGGAGTGTGGCCTTCGGGCGGGCAGAGCTCTGGCAGCTCTGGCCGCTCCGGGTCGCCGCAGTGGTGTTGCCCGCCATCGGTGCGACGACAGCCGCCCAACTCCGGGCCGCTATTGGGCTTGTCTCGTGATTGATCAGTCTCTTGAGGGTTTGAATGACATAGGCAGTGGCTTCTTTCGCGATCTGCTTTCTAGAACCGTCAAAGCTGGCGACAACGCTGTCGACGGACCGTGCAATGGTCAGAAAGACGTCTTTCCGTGCCTCGTACTGTCTAGCTTCTTCTGCAAGGGCTGTCAAGACGGACCCTGTGGCAGATCCGCTCGGAGCAGATGCGGTAGAGGCTGCGGGCCCCTCGGCCGAGGTAGGGGCGTCGGTGGTGGCATCAAGCTGGCTTCCCGTTAGGCTGGGCCGGGTCGGCTGTGCCTCGGCGTCGCGGCGTCGCTTAGCTCTTGAGGTGGGGTTCGGCTCCGGAGGTGTCCCGGAGCCTGGTTCGGGGTCGGCTTGGTCGGCCGACATCAGTCCGGTGCCCGACGGCGGCTGTGAGGCCATCGCGGATGCGGGCTCCGGCAAGGGGAGGTGAAGAGTTTTCGGCTGTTAGTAATTTGGTGGTAGGCTCACTCATTCACTAACAGCAGATGCCAAGAAAAATTAGGCGAGAGGGAAGTTGACGCCACTCGAGATATCGCCGGCGTTGATGGCATCCCAATCACCCAACAGCTCTGCCGTGTTAGGGAGCGTCTCGTAAATCTCTTTCCTGATGTTAACCTTGGGAGGGTCGTCTAATAGCTCCATAATCGTGTCTATCATCGTTTGCTCTCGTCTTGTGGTTCTTGCTGAGACTCCTAGACCAAGTTTGCAAACCGAGGTATGGGAGCGGGAGGGGTCATATGGTATTTCTTACGCGACATCCCTCCATGACTGATGAAACCCCAGGTGTACATTTGTGCTCATCAAGTATCACGGACATTCTCGCAGTAACCTGCAGGCCATGTTAAACGACGTCTCCAATCGAGTGTGCCACACATGCGCTTGCCAACAGGGCTTGGGGGAAGGCCGTAAGACAATTCCTTCTTGACAGCGTACCTAGGTAGGTATTACCTCGCCCATAACAATGCAGTGTAGAAGTCTTTCTGGGGAATTGCAGCATTTTGCTGGAAATACCTTTGGCCAAAGTTCAGCAACTTAGAAATGAAGGTTGATGTACACAGCATATGCCGTACGCTTGGCTTGCAGTTGCATAGAGACGGTGTCCGTGATGACACGCTGACACAGGATGCGCCTCGAAGCACGAGAATGATAGGACGAAAATGCCGATGTATCTGACGAGCGTCTGCTGTACGCTCAACCATTCGTCCTTGGGAATTCGTTGTCTCCTCGAGTATTCCTTTAGTGCTTACTTCATACTGCGTCCCTAGCGCAATTGCCTTTGTGGGAGCAATAGCATTTATACTAGGCTGCACGGACATTGATGGGAAACATGCAGGCTTGATGCTTTTGGCATTACGATGTACTTAGTAGAGGAAATAATTTTGCCAGTGCTACCCTTAGAATCTAGAATGGTGATTATGATACTGTCCCTCGTTTCGGTGCAAAGCTCCTTGATGGGAAGCAAAAGAGGAGAAAGGGATTAATGATTTTACAACTACTTAGGTAGAAACGAATAGCTGAAATCGCCCTGTGTTAATATTGCTAGGCATCCACGACGCTAATATGGCACAGCTAATTGGTACTCGGATAGGCCTGCGTCCCTTCTGGTGTATAAAGTTCCGTGACACTTTGATGTCTCGCGGATTACATGATTGCACTGGTAGTTCTAGTTATGGCATATGTTGCTTTTCCCCACTTCGTCTACCAGTGGCCGGGTATTTCACGTACAAAGACGAACAAGGCCAATATTGAACTGGAGTTAAGCAGTGATAGATGGTAATTCTGACGGCGAGGTGAGTAGATAGAGCACACCGATAAAGCTCCCCATCGGCCGGTCCCACGCGCCAAGATGCTTGCGACACCCCGCGACGCCCGGGCACCCTTGTCGATGAATACGAATAGTGGCGCAGCAGCTCCCCCTAGCTGTTCGCCCCGATGGATGAACGAATGGACGAATAGCACAGCGTCATCTCGTCACAGGGGCGGCGGTTCAGCCAGACAACTTCCCCAAACGGCACCTTGCAAGACACCCGGCCTTTTCCTTCCGCCGGTTATGACAACCTCAGACAACGAGTTAACTACCTCTGTCTGCCTTCCTCTGTACGGATAGTCATCAGCTACAACCTGAGGCGAACACCAAGTTCCCCCCCTCCCCCGCAGCTGAGCAGCTTGAGCTTATCTTAGCTCCCTTCAGCTCTCCAACTCCTCCGTCTCACCCCAACTCTCCATCTCCAAAAGCTTCCAAGTAACTCCCACTCGTAGTCAAATCCCATAACATACGCAAACCACATCTGATCAGACGCCGGACGGCTAGACAGACAAGATGCCTCCTTTTCCCATGCCTCCCCACGACATTTGGAGCCAGGACGCCTTCCAGCACCCCTCCTACAACCCAAACCCGATCCCCCGTCGGCCCCACCCCCAGCCCCAGGCCGGCAGCAGCACCCGCGCCAGTGCCACCACCCGGTCCTCAGAACCTGGCCCCAGCGACGCCGTCACAAAGGAGTTTTTCAAGCACTCGAGCGCGAAACGCGTCAACACCGACGCCCTCATCTCAAAGGCGCTCAAGGAACAATACCCCCACCTCGAGCTCGTCGTTGTCCCCGAATCCCTTGGCTACGGCAATGGCTGCAACCTCCTCGCCTACGCCCAAGGCGGCCACGCCACCTTCGAGGTCATCGACGACAGGGACGGCAACAACCTGCCCTCGTCCCTCGAGTGGCTGCTGTACCTGCCCCCCTCCCGGCGCATGGACGGCAACCTCGGCGGTTTGGCGACGATTACAAACTTCGGCAAGTACCTGTACAAATGGCAGGGTCACGAATTCATCGTCTACCTCGTCGACGGGCGCGACGGCGTCATGCCGTACCCGATCAAGAATTACTATATCCTTGCGCCGCAGACCTACCAGGTCGACCAGCTCGTCCTGTCCGCGGGAAAGTGGAGCAGCGATCTGCACGAAGAGGTGTGGGTGTTTGATCAGGGGTACTGGCAAAAGAGCCACGAGCTGTTCAAGAGCTTCCGCGATGCTTCGTGGGAGAACGTCATCCTTGACGCGGATATGAAGAAGGCGCTCATCGAAGACCACTTGTCCTTCTACAACTCAAAGGAGACATATCAAAACCTCAAGGTGCCTTGGAAGCGCGGTCTTATCTACTATGGACCACCGGGCAACGGCAAGACCATCTCCATCAAGGCCACGATGAATATGCTCTTTCAGAGGGACATCCCTACTCTCTACGTGCGCACGCTGGCTTCCTTCATGGGACCCGAGTACTCCATCCAGCAGATCTTCAGCAAGGCTAGAGAATATGCGCCTTGCTACCTTGTGCTGGAGGATCTCGATACTATCGTCTCCGATGACGTGAGGAGCTATTTCTTGAATGAGATGGACGGCCTCAAGGCGAATGATGGAATTTTCATCATCGGCAGCACCAACCACCTAGACCGCCTCGACCCAGGCATCTCTGTAAGTCGTCGCTCATCCAAGTAGAAGGCCCGGCATACTAACACCTAACAGAAACGCCCTTCCCGCTTCGACAGGAAGTACTTCTTCCCCGACCCCAATCTCGAGCAGCGCATCGACTACTGCCACTTCTGGCAGAACAAGCTCAAGAGCAACAAGGAGATCGACTTCCCCGACCAGCTTTGTGAGGCCATTGCTAAGATTACAGACAAGTTTAGTTTCGCATACATCCAAGAGGCCTTCGTGGCGGCCCTACTTGCCATTGCGCGACGCTCGGACCACAGCGGTAGCAAGGAGCGGGACAGCGTTGAGGCTTTGACGGAGCAGCTTGAGGACGACTGGCTTGGGGTTGTCGATGGTGCCGAGGATGATGGCGACTTGAAGAAGCTGACGTTGTGGGTTGAGATTAAGAAGCAGATTGAGATTTTGAGAGATGGCATGGAGGAGAGGAACTAGGTTTTGCGTCGATCAGTACCTATACCGGGCTGCACATGAACGGCCATGGATTTGCATTGATTAGAGTGTACGATAACAGCATAGCTCGCAATGTTATGGGCAGATCATAAAGAGCTCCTAAATTGTGTTTGGTGTCGCTTCGAGAGTTGAAGTTGCCGCGGCTGTGCCGATGGCAGCTGGCCCACCACGCAGTCGATCGGCGGCTTGAGTGAAGAACGAGTCTATCCGAAGGGTGACTGGAAGGAGAAGTAACTCCGAAATTAAGTTGTCCTGTCGATTGAGCCGCTGCAGGGTGTCATGAAGGCCCTCGAGCAGGTTGAAGGCCGACGTGACATCTCCAGGCTCAGTTGCCAGCACAAACAGGTAGATGATGAAGTTGCCACAGAGTATGAGTTGAGATCGGGCGTCTAGGAATGGCCTAGATGTCAGTAAACGTTCTCTCGTTCTAGGGGGCATGGAAAAAGCGGAACGGAGACATACGGCAGCCCCAAAAGCCTTGTAGGTCCTCTGGGGCTAGTTCGCCCATGAAATCTCTGAAGCTAGCAAAGTCGGAGAGCGCAGCGCCAAACCATAGGCGCAGGCTGGATGATGGCATTGCCTTGGCACCCTTGGTAGCTGGGTTCATGAGTGCTCGGTAGAGAAGCGCCAAGTGGGCGTAGTACGCTAGATGAAGGGGCGCTGTTCCTGTTCCTGTCAGATATAAACTCCTTACAAAACACTCTGGTAAACGGACCATTATTGGATATCCCCGAGTCTCTCACAAGTTGAGGCATCGTAAGACATTGCGGCAGCAGTGTTAACCAGTTGTGCAGTTCGCCCTGGAGTGAGACTAGATGCCCTCGGTTCGTCACCTCTATCTTCTGCGACTCTGGAGGCGTAAGCCTGGGCACCTGACTGGGACAGGTATCAGTTGTCTACTATCGGAGCCAAAGAAAAGTTTCGAAACAGGAAGTTCTTACAAACTGCGGTCGATAACCCCTCGCAAGGTCTGGCTCACCGTCACCAACTCCAGAAATCGGGCTCCCGTAGCAATATCAAATTCCACATTGTCCGGGTGGACAAGTACACGCAAGTCCTCCGGAACGCTCTCTTCAGCGCGTAAATCCTCCATTGAAACGTGTGATGTGTTAAAAGAAGCTGGATAAATGTGTGGCGGGTTTCCGTGGCACACTGCCGACCACACGTCAGCTACATACGTAGCCCACCACAGCTTCCTCCGCAATCTCTTCTCCCACGCAGGGAGATTCCACTTCCCAGCATTCTGGTGCAGTCCAATCATCTGGGCAGTGGCTACGGCCTGCGCTGTGGATGTCCAGGTCCTGGGATGCGCAATGCTGTCTGTTCTGTTGGGCGTCATGTGGAGGAGCAGGAGAGAAGCTTGAAGCTTGGCCAAGTTTGGCGAGTCGAGTTCTCGTTGTAAGGAGTCGGTGGCAAGGTCAGCAAGCTCATGTTGTTGGAAAGGAAAGGGGCCTTGCAGAGACGGCCCAATCTCCCCAAAGACCGAGGCAAGTGCGTAGACGGCCCCGCGGAGGGAGGCAGGAAGCTTGTTCTTATCGTCGAAGTACTGTCTCAAGAACCTGCACTTTGATAGAACAGGCAGTACCGGATGGATGTGTCTGAAATACAGGCGTACGAGAGTGGGGCCGTGAGGCTCGACCAATCTCTCAATCGCACGAGATGCTTCTTCCCTGGCCTTATTGTCCTGGGTTGTAAACTCGTCCTGCAGGAGACAGAAGTGAACCGGAGGATCCCAGGGGTACCCGCTTCCTTCATAGACCTGGATAAACTCTGCATCGATTTGATTGGGACCGCTCAGGACGTCCGAGCGGAAAGAGGCAAGAAAGTGGGTGTCTTGCTCGGCTGCCGGGCCCATGCTATGTGCTGTCCTGTTTTCATTGTCTTCTAGTGTTCGCACGTGAGGTACCGGGAATATATCAAGCGTGTAATTGCGAGGCGAAGGAACCGAATTATCTAACGTTATCCGTGGAGATTCCGAGTGACTGGAGGGCCCATCTTGCGCGACATCCCGAGGGGCGGGTGCGGATGCAGATGCAGGCGACGCAGAAGCAACACTTTGCGAGGCCGATGACTTGCATTCTATGCCTCTGCCCTTGCAGAAAAGGCCTGGGCCATGTCAGTCATGTATCTCATCGGTACGTAGACTCGGGGACCATACCACTTACAGGGTGGTGTAGAGGTGATAACGCACGCCGTCTTTCTCTTGCGACACGCGTCACAAGGACGGTTCTTTCGGCTTCTCGATTGTCTAGCCTGGCCGAACTCGCTCGGAACTTTGAACTTGCGTCTTTGGGACGACTTCCTAGTATAGTTAGGCATGGCGTCGATGATAATGCTGTCGAGGGTTCGTGATCAGGTTGGCCGATGGACTGGTGTTGCACGAGGCAAGTTGGCCTATGCAGTTGGCCGACATCGATAACGCCTGTGCGTTCTCTGGTCATCAATGTTAGTGGCTGACAGGTGGGACCTGTCAGTGCAACGCTAGGGCGGGGGGACTGGCAAGTGAGCGACAAAATAATCTGTGGTCAACATATATTTACTCCTGGTACATTAACTAAAGAGCCCGTCTATTTTGACTATACCGTTCGGCTGTTTTGACTACATGCCACTACCCGCGGCCGGCAACTACTTATTTAATTACATCGCTATAATTATATTATTGACGGGGTTTACGGTCATAATTGACGATTAATAGTCATGATTAGCCCGAAGTAATTGACGATTTTTATGGGCGTAACGTAATATAACCGTACAAGTAGCTAGTTGTATAAGCGTCTGCCGGCTACTGATAGTGGCATACAGTCAAAATAGCCGGACTCTTAAATAATTGGCTCATTCTTGCACAACTATTCTCATTCTTGACATGATTGTCACGCGTATCGTTATCACTACTATTCTTTCTACTGCCTCGACAGGATAATCTAATTACACAACTGTGGGAATGACCTTGAAGAACTAGGTAGCCTAAGAAGAGCAGTGATAGCGACGTAGAGGCAAAGGTGGTGGCAGTGACATTGTCGATAAGTAGTAACTAAGGGTAAAGGGTGTGGACTACAGTATCTACACCTCTACTTTGAAAGGGACGACAGAGTTTCCGGACTCCACTCCATGTCCAGAAAGCACTTCGAGAATCTCGGGAGTCTCGGCCAGCGTCACATCCCATTTGCTCTGATGCATTTGTTGGAGTTCATGGGCCGACGGCGAGTCTCTGACAAAGGCATCTAAGCTTTTCGCCGGGAAATACCGATGTAGCAAGGCGTACACGAGACCGCTAGAAAGGAGCCCATAAATGTATGACATGGAGTATAGCTCTGTGGCGCCTTCGCTCACTGTCACTGAAGTGTCAACAGCAGCGATGAAGCCAGGCATGCAGGGGACAACACCCACAAGCCACTGCAAAAAGATCAGCACATGTTCTACTTTGAAGAGAATGAAAGTAACTCACTGCCACCGGAGCTCGCCAATTACAACCGCAGGAGAACCAGTAGATGCTCCCAGAGTCGCCGCGGTACAGGTCGCTCACGTTCACCTTGCTCTTATTAACAACCAAATAGCTGGATATCATCAACCCCGTCATCGGAGCCAAGAAAACACTGTAACTTGAAAGGACCGTAAGGAAGATTGTTGCAGTGTTGACAAGACGCCAAGGGTTGACGATAATGCTGAAAATTGCGGTGATGTAGGCGCCGCGGCGGATGTTCAAGTATTTGGGAAACGTCGCTGCCAGGTCAAAGCCGCCGGCAAGTGCGTTTCCAGGGACGTTGACTCCGATCTGCGATATTGTAAGACAAATCCCCGCGAAGAAGCAAGCCGCCCGCGTCCCAGCGGTTTCGTCCTGGGCCAGGAGCTGAGCAAATAAGGTAGGCGGGTTCCAGATGGCTTCGCCCCCGAAGCGCTCCTGAGTCGCTGCAGTGACAAGGATGCCTATCAACGAGCTTAATATGCTATAGAAAGGAAACGAGATAGCCTGGCCCACGATTGCGTGCTTGGGCTGCGTAGCAAAGCGGGAATAGTCATTCTGGTTCAAGATACCGGCCGCGATGGAACCGATTGTTGATACGATGCCGTAGATCATCAACCAAGCCACGCTGTCCGGCCCACCCGTGTTGGAAAGGGCTGATCCCGAGGTGATGGTATTGCCAAATCCGGATGGTCCCATGGTTGCGAGGGCCCAGATGAGAAGCACGACGAAGAAGACAAGGGTGATGGAGCAGGCGAAGCGGAAGAAGTTTTCGAGACGATGCGGGCGAATCCAGATGACTGGGAGAGAAATGACGCTGAAGATGACATACGAGACGAATTGTGCAGTCGTCATGCCCGTGTCTACTGGCATACCATTGGGAATATGGGATTCGAGCCTTGGGTCCCAGGAAAGGAGGATCACGTAGATGCACTCGCCTCCAACCCAGGCTGTGAAGCCATACCTATTTATGCTTTGTCAATACAACCTCATGCGTTGTCTGAGTTTTCCTGAAGTCTTCGACTAACCAAACTATCGTACCGATTAGTCCACCATGGCCGTGATGCTATGGATTGGGTAACTGGGAAAGCTTACCGAGAGATAGAAAAATACGGTTCCAAATGACAAATTGTGAACCCCACATTCCCCATACAGCTCGACTGAACACAGGAAAGCCAACTGTGAAAGTAAGTAATGTAGTAAGCTTGTAGCAGTTTGGGCATTGTAAACGTACTGTGATAGTAGCTACCCGGAAGTGAGTTAACGATCACGGCGACAGTGGCAATGAGATTGCCGATGATAATACCTTGTAACAAATTAGAGAGAGCTTCAAAACATCAAACGAGAAGCCAGACTCACATATAAGGGCCTGCCACCAAGTCAAACCGAGAGGGATGAGGGCACTGCCGGTCAAGTAGGTGGTGATATTGCAGTTGACCAAGAGCCCTTGGACGTGGTCAGCATGACAAAGACTTTGTGAACATCACCCTGCACGCACAAAAGTTGTGAAACGTCAAAAAGCCCCAAGTGCGTCTTTGAGATTCAATAGGCCGAATATCGTCGTTCTGTCAGATACTGCGTCAGCACTGCCTTGACTACCGACCCTGCGCCAAAAGCTGGGGACATGACAACGGAGGTGGTCCGGGTTTACGTACAATCCACCGGGAAACATAGGGGAGTTCCACCCGCTTCAGGGCAGCTTGAAAACCCATTGGAGACTTCGATGTTGATCTTTCGGGATGAAGCGAATGAAACGTATTGCAGAGTGTTGTGGACGAACAGAGCTTTGTCCGTTCGAGCTCTGTCGCTTTGGGCATGAGTGCAACACGAGACACGCATGATGTGAAGACGAACTCCGTTGAAGATATAAAAGTCGGTCTACTACGGAGGTGCGTCTCAATAGTCCTTGCAGTTGCTGCCAAGACCAACCCCTGCCATAGACAGGGGAGTCGACAAGGGGCTGGCTAGGGTATGTACAAGCGGCAGAATTCGGCCACTTCCACCCACTATAATTATCGTTAATTTAGCGGTAAAAAGTCGTCAATTAAGGTCAATTAATGGTCGTTTAATAGTATAATCTAGCCCGACGACCCTCTTTGTATTCATTATCGCCCTCTAGGGTAATTATCTATTAGATATAATAAAGTACCCTTTCTATTTATTTCTAGATCTCCTCTTACAGTAATACTTTCTAGTACTCTTATTAGCAACGTACTACTTCGGCCTATGACGAAGGCGCCCCCTTCCTAATAGTCTATCTCTTTATCTACGGCCAGCAAAGTTTAATAGGATTAAGGTCGGGTAAATTACCCGGCTAGAGAAGCTTTATAATCTCGAAAAGGCTATACGTATAGTAAGTAAAATAATAATTGTAAACGGGTACCTTGTCCTCTTATACGATTAGATTACTAGGTAATCCTTTAATATAAGGGAATAATTTAGGTAATAGGATCTTTTTATAGTATCTATACTAGTTAATTCCGCCCTTACCGTTCTATATTAATTTACCTAACTTCGCATTCTAATTAAATTAAGGCTTACGGCCCGGTTGGTTCTATAAGCCTATTTGCTCTATACTATTCTTAAGCTCCTACTATTAACGTCGAATAGGCTCGAGCTCTATATTAAGCTCGGTAATTATTACGTCGGCAGCCTTCCTCTTAATAGCAGTCTCGGGAATTTAATAGTAGTACGGCCCTTTCGAATCGTATAAAAAAGACCCCTAAAATATGAATTCAAAATAACCCTTTTACCTCTCTCGTATATACTACTTAAAATAGGCCTCGTCTAGGCGACGTTAAAGCTTATAGCTACTACGGCGGTAATTAAAGGTAACCGTAGTTTTGTCTAACTATATAACCCGCTTTTAATCATCGAAGGTCTAGTATTAATAATCGAGGCACTATTTAAGTCGCTTTTACTATATCCTTTTTATTAAGCCTGGCTTACGGGTTGGTTTAGTTTTATAAAAGCTATAGCGACGAAGGATTTACTAAATAGTTATTATAAATACGTTAATACCCTCGTCCTTTAATAGGTCCCTAATAATATTAATATAGTTCTTTTTACGCCTATACTGGTCGCAATAGACTTTATAGATAACGGTATCGTTAACCTCTTTTGTCTATTTAGTTAGATAGCTACTTTGAGGGGCATTTTTATAATAGGTAGGCTTAATCGAGAAGGTAGGAGTAGTTAAATCGAATCCGTTTTTTTTTACGCAGGTAAGAACGTCGTAAATAGTTCAAACTAGAATTTCTAGAGCTTAAGAGACCTATTTAGCAGTCTACCTAATAAATCGACTTTATAAGATAAGAATCATTACCCTAACGCCTAGATCTAGCTTCTTCTTTATCGGCATCTTAGGATCTATATTAAGGAAAAAAAAGTAGTATAATAAATAGCGATTTAGCGGTTTTGATATTATCGTAGGATTAGTGGTAGTATCGTAATAGCGGTGTATGGGGTAAAATCGTTGCTATGGGTAGTGCTGGGGGGAAAGTAAGTAAAGTGGGTCAAGATCAATCCCTAGGCTCTTATTGGTTCAGATGGGCAGTAATTGTGGGTCTGGGGCTTGGCAGCGACTGCAAGGACTATTGAGACGCACCTCCGTATGTATGGTGGTATTATCTCGGCACTCTGCAGTCATCCCACGTTGCGCTAACAAGGATACTTATCAATCCCCGGGGCATGACCCTTGTCAAAGCCGAAGTTGGCCGATCGATCGGCCAACTTGGAGCTTGTGAACCCCTCAGGCGGGGATCCCAGGACACGGGGAACGTCTAATTATCTTAGTGCCTCCACTTACACGGATATCAGTAATTGAGCATAAGTCCTTGATCATTCTTCTCGGTAGTGTTGTCGGCCGACCTCCTATCGAACCCTCGCTTGAATGATCCTGTCTTGGGATAATTTCCTATGTTAAGAGCTTTGCCATCTGCCGTTAGGAGAAGGACAATACTTTCGCTGCCGGAGGCATACCACATACAACCTTTCTTCAATCAACCTCACTCGAAACGACAAACGAAAGTTCATCTATCATGTCTCTATACCGCATAGGTGTCGATGTAGGCGGCACAAACACTGACGCTGCCATCCTCGACATCACCGCAGCAGACACACCCGGCCGTGGCGTCCTGGCTTCCCACAAGGCCTCAACTTCACCGGACATCACCACTGGCATAGAAGCTGCCATCCGTGCTGTCATTCAAAGCTCGGAAATTGACCAGAAGCGAGTTCTGAGCGTAACTATAGGCACAACGCACTTCATCAACGCTCTTGTTGAGGCTGACACGCGACGCCTCAGCAAGGTAGCAGTCGTACGTCTATGCGGGCCTTTCACAAGACAAATCCCCCCCTTTTCAGACTTTCCCTCGGGTCTTCATCGTATCCTCGATGGTGGAGTCTACTATCTGGATGGAGGGTTGGAAATCGATGGCCGTGAGATTGCGCCGCTCGACCATGAGCAGATCCGACAGGCGGCGAGAAACATTGTCGCGTCGGGGGTGCGATCAGTTGCTCTTGTTGGGATCTTTTCACCTCTGGATCACTCCGGTCTGCATGAAGAGACTTGTAAGAGGATCATGCTAGAGGAAGAGTCCGGTCTTGATGTGGTTTGCTCCCAATATATAGGTCCGCCTGGCCTTTTGGAGCGAGAGAACGCCACTATCCTCAATGCTGCAATTCTCAGAACAGCACACAAGGTCACCCGGGGCTTCAAAACCGCCATGGTGCGATTGAAGCTTGCTTGTCCACTGTACTTGTCTCAGAACGATGGCACCCTCATTGATGCTGATACCGCAGCCGAGTTTCCCATCAAAACCTTCGCCAGCGGACCGACAAATAGCATGACGGGTGCGGCGTTTCTTGCTGGATCAGATCAAGTCAAGAAGACGACTCTGGATACCATCAAGGCCCCGGAGGGGAAAGGGACAGAACCTCAAGTGCTTGTCGTTGACATTGGCGGCACAACTACAGACGTGTGCGCCTTGCTCCCGTCTGGCTTCCCGCGCCAAGCTCCGGGCTTCGTGGAAGTCGGGGGCGTGAGGACAGCATTCTCAATGCCCGAGGTCGTCTCAATCGGGCTCGGAGGCGGCAGCAGGGTGGATACAAACCCCGACTTTGGAGGTGTCACGGTTGGCCCAGGGTCAGTCGGACATTTCCTCACTGAGCAGGCAAGAATCTTTGGTGGCCCGGTACTAACAGCAACCGATGTTGTGGTGGCTTATGGGAAAGCGGAGCTAGGAGACGCGAGCCTCATCAAAGATATCCCAAGCTCAACCATCAACGAGGCGCGGCGGAGGATCAAGAAGATGTTGGAGAGTGTTATTGAGCAGATGAAAGTCTCCGCTGCTCCTGTACACGTCATTCTGGTAGGAGGCGGTGCCCTCCTTGTCACAGACGACCTTGACGGGGTCGAGAAGTGTATCCAGCCCATACACCAAGGCGCTGCCAATGCCGTTGGCGCTGCTATTGGCAAGGTTTCTGGCGAAGTCGACATCATCGAGATCCTCGAGGGTAAAGACGAACAAGTAGTTGTTGCAGCGACGTGCCAAAAGGCCATCGACCTAGCCATCCAGAAGGGCGCAGCTGCTGAAGACGTCCGAGTTGTCGAGGTGAATAAGATGCCGCTTCAATACGTCGATAACGGCGCCATGAGAATTCAGGTCAGAGCTGTCGGCAAACTGAGCGTTCCTGAGGATCCAAGCTTCGCGTACGAGACAGCCCCAATCGAAGAAGAGGAACAGGGCACCGAGGCGCCAAAAGAGAGTGTACCAGACGCTCTCGAACCCACTACTAAGCCCTCGTTGAGGGTAGACCTCGAGACCTACCGACCTGATGTCCGAGGAGATGCTTGGTATGTCTCAGAGGTAGATCTGGAGCTCATTGCAACGGGTTGTGGTGTGCTAGGTACTGGTGGTGGAGGACCAACCCACCACGAATACCTCAAGAGTCTGCATGTCCTGCGAAACAGCGAGGCAGGCAAGATGAGGATCATATCCCCCTCGTCCCTTGCCGACACAGACACCGTATGCTTCGGATCCTGGTATGGCACCCCAAGCGTCATCAACGAAAGAATTGCCGGCGGCTCTGAGATCCCCAACGGTATCGATGCCGTGAGAAAGATCTTGGGGGATGTACCTGTTCATGGCGTTTTCATCGATGAGATGTGAGTGACGAAACCAAGATCGAATAAAGATTTTGACTGACAGACAGCAGTGGCGGGGGTAATGGCTTAAGTGTTTTTCCAACTGGAGTACACTACGACATACCGGTTGTTGATGGCGACGCGATGGGAAGAGCATACCCAACTATGTATCAAGGTAACATCTGAACATCAGGATCAAAGCCATGACCAGCTAACAAGGCGTCATGAACAGCCACGCTGAGCGTTTACGGTCACCCGCTAATCCCTTGTGCTCTCTCCGACGCAAGGGGCAACGTGTCCGTTGTGATGGTAGGTTCCCTCTTTAAGTGCAACTATCCATCCATGCTGAAAGTCTCACCTACAGAGTTCCGATACACCAATTCGTCTGGAGCGTTTCCTACGCACGGCAGCCATTGAGCTAGGACTTGGGTGTGCCGTCTGCGCCAGGCCGCTTCCCGGCTCGGCTATCAAGTCCCACGGCGTCCCCAATACCATGTCGCAAGCCTGGTATCTGGGCCGCGCTGTTCATATGGCACGGAGAAAGAAGTCTAACTACGTCGATGC